CCCCCCCCCCCCCCCCCCCCCCCCCCCCCCCCCCCGCACCCTAGGGCCCTCTCACCCTCGCACCCACACGGCCGCCCGCACCCTCGCCCGCGCTGCTGGGAGCCAGGCCCGGCTCTCCCCACCCCGTCCGCGCGCCCGGCGCCTGGGTTCGAGCTCTCTCGCGGGTCAGGGCGCAACCTCTGTTAAGAAATCTACTAGCGATCTCTGGTCTCCAGAGCTCCGCGGGAGGGCAGACGTTCCGCGTCCCACCGAGGACGGGTCCCCCTGCAGGAGAGACGCCGCCGCTCCCCGCGAGCCCGCCTCGTGGCCGCCTTCAACCACCGCCCCCAACAAGCCTGTTTCTGGCGGGGGTGGGTGGGGGCTGCAAAGAGAGCGATTGCCCCCACAGAGAGTCCGAAGTGCCAGGCACGCTCTACCGAGTGCCCAGTGAAAGCCTTTGAAGGACACTCACAGAAGCGCGCTCAAACTCGCCTCGGTTTCTGTCCCCTTCTTCTCACTTCTCTTCCCCTCTTTCCCCCACTGGCTCTCTCTTCTTTCCCCTGAACCCCATTTGAGGCGATCTCTGCCCGGGCTTCCGGGAATACCCGGCTCCCCGGCAGGCTTCCCGCTGCCTTGCCCCCTCACCCTCTCTGGGCTTGCGTCTCAATTTGCCTTTCCATCTCTCAGCGCTTTTTCTCCACTCTCTTCACTTTCTCTCATTTTTTTTTCTTTTCCGTTTTTCTTTCTTTACCCATTTCCGCCCCCTCTTCCTTCTCTTTCTTGCCCCCTTTCTTTCCTTATTTTTCTCCGTTTCTGTATTTCCTTATCCCCCCCTCTTCTCCCCCATTCCTTTTTCTCTCCTCGTTTTTTCTTCCCCCTTCATTTCCCCCGTTGTGTTTTCTCCGCGCGTCCGTCGCCTCGGCACCCCCTCTTTCTCCTCAGTTCTGTTCTTTTCTCCTCACTTCAGTATCTTCCCCTACTTTTCCAAGCTTACTCCCCGCACCCTTTTTTGATCTCCACCTGCCACTTTAGTTCGTCTCTGCCCTCACCCTTTCAAGAGCTGCGGTGAGGGAACGCTCACCTGCACTGGGGCCGTGTCGAATGAAACTGCAGGCTGTGGCATTCTCAGTTCTGAGGAGAATGTGATTCTGGGGCCACGGAAAGGTTAAAGGTCAAATCCGTGGAGAGAAAGGCAGGCTGGTTCCTTGGGTCATACCCCAGGCTTGCGGGATGTAGGGATGTGCTGGGTGGCCAAGTGGTAGACTTTCAGGGTGTCTCAGGATTGGAGAATTGGAATACGTCGAATATGGAGGATTCCCTAATTATTGGCTCCCCCCAAAAATTCAAAATATTCATGATCAGTTTTCACACAGAACTCCAATGGATTTCAGTTTCAGTCAGCACTTCCCACCCCCCTTCCGCTCGCTTTTTTTCACAAGCCCGCGGCCCTGGCCATAGAGAAGTATATACCGCCATCATGTGTTTAAGACGTGGAACAACATTCTGTGCCTCGCGGTCAGAGTTCAAGCTTTAGGAGCCGGCAGGGGTGCCTCCTAGTGGAATCCACAGGGCATTAGCTCTGAGAACAGAAGGGAAAACTAGGCGGAGCCTTTACACTAAAAGCCCCGCCCCCCCACCCCCCATGACCAAGCTGTACCCGCGGACGCCAGTCTGGGCCAGAGCCACCCTGTTTCTGGTGGAGCTTCGCTTGCCTCAGTCCCTGTAGACCGGGCTTCCATACACTTGAAATTCTCTCTAGGTGCTACAAGCATCAGCCCTGTGATTAGGAGCAAAGGGAGGCCAAATAACTCCTGTTCCCAATGTCCTCTGGGTCTTTTTTTAAATTACTTTTTTAAAAGTTTGTTTATCCTGAGAGAGAGAGAGAAACAGCGCGAGTGGGGGAGGGGCAGAGAGAGCGGGAGGGAGAGGGAGAATCCCAAGCAGGGTCCGGTCTGTCGGCCCAGAGCCCCAGGTAGGACTCAAACTCTCGTGAGAAATCATGAGATCGTGAACTGGCCGAAAACCAACAGTGCGAGACTCAGCCTACTGAGCGTCCCAGGCGCCCCGGCCCTATAGGTCTTATATGGGGTCCCACATCTTTAGGAAATGGAGGGAGGGAAGTACTCTCTGCTGTAGGGGCCAGAAAACCAGAAATGACCTGTATCCATAGCTCCTGACATGGTCCCAAGATCAGAGATGAAAGAGGCATTTGGAGGTCAGTGAGCAGACCTGTAGAACTGAGAGCATGGTCCCTATACTCTCACAGACTGCTGAGGATTCAGTTTGGTCTCTCTAAAGGCAATCCTTTAGATGCAATAGTTTCCCTTTTTCTTCTTCTTCCTCGTCTTTTTTTTTTTTTTTAATGTTCTTGGGTAAAGGCCAGAGGAGGTAGTAGAATATGAAATTTCATATGGTTGTGTAGACTTATAGCCTACTGAATTGTTTTTTAATTACAGTGGTTATGATTTTCCCTCTTGTTTGTAATTATTTTATGGTAAACATTATAACAAACTGTATTAGCTCCATAAATGTTTACTTAAGTTATGTTTTGAGAACTTATGGGGCCTTTTGCTTCTATACGTGCCTGAGTCCTCTTATCTTTGTGCATAACCTTGGGACAAGGCCCTGGTGGAAGTATTTCCTTCTTGGCATTTGGCACCATTAAACCCAAGATTTTGTCCCCTTGACATTTCCCTTGTTGTACTCCTTGCTGTCATCAGTGTTGTTAATAATTCAGTGCAGCTTTGCATACTATATCCAGGCTGATCAGGAGCAAATATAACCTAGGTATAGAAAAATCTAGATAGTTCAGTGATAGAGTTCAGAAAGCTGCTGTGTGTCTGCATACAAGTCCAGCTTGTATTGATATATAGTATACCTCCACAGGGAAGGCTGACTGGGCAGGGCCCCCTTGGCTTCTCTCTGTGAAGCCTTGCTTTGCCTACATATATTGTGTTGGGTGGAGACGCTACAAGCAGCAAAATGCTCTTGCATAATCCCAGTGAGCAGAAGGGGGCCCCACTTCAAGACAGAGCTGGTGGCTCTCTGGGTGGAGCAGAAAGCGAGTATAAGGGGCATCTCCTTCTCAGATGGGGTCATTCAAGAGTCACTTATTCTGCACTTGCCCTGTGCCAAGTATGGTGTTAGTGGAGATTCAGAGGTAAATGAGACACAGCTCAGGCCCTCAAAGAAGGTATGGTCTAGCCAACAAACCAGATACGTCAAGAGACAAAAGCAGTACAAATGAGTGGTGATGAGGGAGGCCTGGTGTGTGGTGGGAGCAGGTGCTGTGGAGTGTGGAGAAGATGTCAGCTCTGGAAGGAGGAAGGGCAATCTAGGTGGAGAGAGTAGAGAACAGAGACTTGGTGGTGAGGACAAAGTGTATGCTGGGGCCCGGGTGGGGGTGGGGTGGGAATTACAAAGCAGGTCGGTGTTGTGGGAGAACAAGATGAGAGATGGAATAGTGTGAGTCGAGGCTGGAAAAGGATGAGGGACCAGGTCTTAGAGGGACTTGTGTGAAACATGAAGGGGATCTCGACACACAAGTCTGCTGTGCATTTGGAAACTGTTAAGAAAAAGGATAGGGGCTCATGCGTGACTCAGTCGGTTGAGCATCCAGCTCTCAATTTCAGCTCCAGTCATGATCCCAGAGGTTGTGGGGTCAAGCCCCAAGTTGGGCTCCATGCTGAGCAGATTCTCTCTCTCTCTCCCTCCCTCCCTCTGCCCCTCCCCACTCCTCTCATGCTCTCTCTCTAAAATAAAATAAAATAAAATAAAATAAAATAAAATAAAATAAAGAAAAAGGATAGATACCATTTATTAAGTCCCTGCTATGTGCCAAGCACTTTACATATATTATCGCATATAATCCTCACAACAACCCTGTGAAATAGGTATTGTAGTTCCAGTGATGAAATGGGTTTAGGGAAGTTAAAGAAGCTCTCAGGTTACATAAGTAGTAAGTTAGGCATTTGAATTTGAATCCAGAGCTTTCAGACCTGGAAGCTTGTGCCTTTAACAATTAGGTGACTTTTTTGTAAAGTTTATTTATTCATTTTGATGGAGAGAGAGAAAGAGTGGGGGAGGGACAGAGAGAGGGAGAGAGAGAGAATCCCAAGCAGGCTCCGCGCTGTCAGCGCAGAGCCTGAGGCGGACGGGGCTCGAACTCACAAACCTGAGCTGAGCTGAAATCCATAGTTGGACGCTTAACCGACTGAGCCACCCAGGCACCCCAACAATTAGGTGACTTTTTAATGATGGGTTTATCAAACATTTATAAAGCATAACGGCTGTTTAAAGAAGATCACACACTCAAAATAAAAAGGTGCAATCAACGATTTACTAATATATTAAAAGATTTTTATTTGTAAGGAAATTGGCAAATCTGGTATAATAATTAGTAGAATATCTGAGTTTTGGATCACCTACCATGTGTCAGGCACTGTTCTAAGTG